GAGAGAGAGAGAGAGAGAGAGAGAGAGAGAGAGAGAGAGATCTGGTGTCTTTTCCTCTTCTCATTAAGACACCAGTCCTATCAGTTTGGGGTCCCAACCTATGATTTCACCTAACATTTATCACCTCCTTATAGGCCCTATCTCCCCATACAGTCTCATTAGGGGTTAGAGCTTCAAGATATACATTTTGGTGGGTTACAATTTAGTAGATACCAACTCCTCTGCTCTGATCTCCACATTGCAACCAAAGTGTTACTGTCTAAGTGAAAAGCTGATCATGCCACTCTCTTTCAAAAATGGTCTTTAAAAAAGTCACTGATTTGCTGGGTCAGTGTGGTTCAGTGGTTGAGCGTCGCCCATGAACCAGGAGGTCACAGTTTGATTCTTGGTTATGGCACATGCCCAGGCTGAGGGGTCAATCCTCAGTGGGGGCCAGGCAGGAAGCAGCCGATTAATAATTCCCTCTCATCATTGATGTTTCTTTCTCTCTCTCTCCTTCTTCCTTCCTCTCTCTGAAATAAATAAAAACATTTTTTAATCACTCATGCTTTGCCCATTCTAGTCTCTACTTACCTCACCAACCAAGCTGTGTGTTCTTCTTCTATAATGACCTTCTTTAAATTTCTCAAATGTTATGTTTCTGTTTATATTGTCTTTTGTACCTGCTGCTCCATTCCTGCATTGCTGACTTCCCTCTTCTCTTGGGACCCTTCTTTAGCCCCCAAATACTACAAAACTATATATGATTTCATAGGATAGTCTTCCATAATGCCCTATACTTTTAGTCATTAAAATTATCTCAGATATTATATATTTGTTTAATTAGTTTATTAAGGTCTTAGATTGCTATGAGTGCATATGTGTGGGCTTATAATAAATTGAGGCACATGTACCTGGCTCCACATGTAGAAAAATCCTTCCATTGAACTAAGGGAACTTTACAAACAAAAGATTTTTTGGAAATCATGATTTGTGCATCTAGTAGTAATTTTTTTTATAATTTTTATTTCTTAAAGTGTTAAAAAGAGTATTACATATGTCTCCTTTTTTCCCCTCCTTGACATTCCCCCGGCCCCTTCCCCCCCCCCCAGGTGTCTTGTGTCCATTGGTTAATCTTATATGCATGCATATAAGTCCATCGGTTTATCTATCAATCCCCCCTCCAAACCCTCCCCAGGCTTCCCACTGTAGTTTGACAGTCTGTTCAATGTTGCTCTGCCTCTGCATCTACCCCTGTTCATCAGTCTATACTGGTCCCCATTATCTGTCCCAACCTCACTGGAGCAGTCCCAACCTGACCGGGGCTGTCCCGACCTCACTGGGGCCGTTTCAACCTCACCGGGGCTGTCCCGACCTCACCGGGGCCGTTTCAACCTCACCGGGGCCGTTTCAACCTCACCAGGGCCGTTTCAACCTCACTGGGGCCGTTTCAACCTCACCGGGGCTGTCCCGACCTCACCGGGGCCGTTTGAACCTCACCGGGGCCGTTTCAATCTCACCAGGGCCGTCCCGACCTCACCGGGGCCGTCAGTAGTGATTTTTATAAGCTAATTTTAAAGGTCCTGCCATCTTTGAGATATTACGATTCTACTTTTATATGCTTTAGAATCAACACCTGGAAAAAAATGGGCGATATCTTGAAATCATAGAGAAATATCATCAGGAGACTTTGGACAAGGAAGGTTCTATAAAATCCATTCATGTAAATGCCAAGAGAATGAAGGAGCTGCCACTCACATATGTAAAGTGAGTTGTCTGATGTCTAATTCCAGAATACTAATGTAGGTTCTAGTTTTTAAAATTATCTAAGGATTAATTTAAAAGGTGGTAGAGAAGAATAAAGTTTATGTAATGAAATGTTAATGTAAAACTATGTGTCATCCATACCAACTTATGGTTTATAACTGTCCCTATTGAATCAGGTGGCTGAGAGGTCTAGAATTTAGGATTATAAAGATTGACCCACACCATTATGGTCAATTAACATTTGACAAAGGAGGTAAGAAAATACAATGGAGTAAAGACAATCTCTTCAATAAATGGTGCAGGGAAAACTGGACAGACACATGCAAAAAAAAAGATGAAACTAGACCACCAACTTACACCTTACACAAAAATAAACTCAAAGTGGATAAAAGACTTAAATGTAAGGCATGAAACCATAAAAATTTTAGAAGAAAATATAGGCAGTAAAATCTCATACATCTCACACAGTAGAATTGTTGCCAATACATCTCCAAGGGCAAGAAAAACAAAGGGAAAAACAGACAAATGTGACTACATCAAAATAAAAAGCTTCTGCACATGCAAAGAAAACCACCACCATGCCAAAACCGGTTTGGCTCAGTGGATAGAGCGTCGGCCTGCGGACTGAAGGGTCCCGGGTTCGATTCCGGTCAGGGGCATGTACCTGGGTTGTGGGCACATCCCCAGTAGGAGATGTGCAGGAGGCAGCTGATCGATGTTTCTAACTCTCTATCTCTCTCCCTTCTTCTCTGTAAAAAATCAATAAAATATATTTAAAAAAAAAAAAAGAAAACCACCATCAAAATGAAAAGGGAACCCACTATATAGGAGAACATATTTGCTAATGATACATCTGATAATGGGTTAATACCCAAAATATATAAAGGATTCATACAACTCAACAAAAGGAAGCTAAACAATCCAATCAAAAAGTGGGCAAAGGACCTAAATAAACACTTCTCCAAAATGGACATACAAATGACTAAGAGACATATGAAAAAATGCTCAAAGTCACTAATCATCAGAGAAATTCCAATTAAAACCACAATGAAATATCACCTCACATCTGTCAGAATGGCTATCATCCAAAAATCAACAAACAACAAATGCTGGTGAGGATGTGGAGAAAAGGGAATACTAGTTCACTATTGGTGGGAATGCAGATTCGTGTAGCCACTATGGAAAACAGTATGGAGTTTC